GTGAAAATAGTTTAGTACCATCAATTGCAAACATTCCCGCAAACCAGCGATTTAATGTTACGAGTACTAATACATGTGACTCCAAAAGTGCAGATTGAAGTGACTTTGTTAAACATATTATTTTTGAAAATCCTGGAAACGATAATTTTTTGTCTATGGTATCCTGCTTAATTTAAATTGAAGATAGTTACTGATAAATTGCAAAGTAACAGACTGAAAATGAGATTTACCATGTTTTATTTGTTCCTATTTCCAGTCTGGTGTTCTTTAACTGTGATTTGTCTTCTGTACCTGTTGACAACAATGACGATTTCTTGATAAACTTTGAGTTCACACTGTTTTCCCGTTGCTGTTAATCATAAGTTTTTCCTCCTCATTTCCTAACGTTCCTTTTAGATCGATTTTTTCCTGGTTTGATACGTTGCTATTATTAGCAGTTACAAGCGTGCCCTGTACAATCAACGTACGAATGTTGATGAAGTTTCCGAACAAGCATAATCCGTTAAAGTAATATGTGCTTATTGTATGAAAATTGTTTGTTAGCTTGTAACGTGAAAGTCAGTCAGGTTAGAATTTGCAATTATTTACAAATAAGTGCTTGAAATACTAGTCAGATTTAATGCATTTGTAATTGATGTAGATCATCTAATCTCGCATTTTTATTCACAGTGACGCCATATCAAATGTATTTGGAAAATATATAGTAAAACGTGGACCAATAAAAAGCCTTTACATAAATAACGGAAGTGAGAACCGAAGATGAAAAACCTGTTGCAGATTATATTTAACTTATGGGATACGAGGAATGCAATAGTGAACAGCGCGTATGGTCTGAGAGGTAAACACGGTATCCTCCACCAAAGAGTTTCATATGCTAATATTACTGAGCTGCGGTTGACCGAGTGACCCAAGTACTCGCACTTACCAATCATTGTGATCTCACCTGGTACCTGGTAGACATATATTTATACATGGACCACATTATACTGGTAGACATCTGAACATCTTTACAAGGACCATATTATACATGTGGATATATACATGAACCACACAATAACTGGTAGACATCTGGACATATACAAGGACCACATTATAACTAGTAGACATCTAGACATGTACACATATACCTAGCAGACATCTGGACATGTACACATTATGCCATGCAGACAACGCGACATGTATACATTATACCAATAAGACATCTGGACATATACATGTACACATTATACCTGGTGGGCATCTTAACATGTATACATTATACCTGGTAGACAATTAGACATATACACGTAAACAATATACCTGGTGGACATCTTAACATGTACACGTTATTCCTGGTATACATCTGGACATATACATGTAAATATTATACCTAGGTGACATCTTTACATGTACACATTATACCTGTTGGACATCTTATGATGTACACATTATACCTGGTAGACATCTCTCGACATATACATGTAAACATTATATCTGGTGGTCATCTTAACATGTACACATTATACCTGGTATACATCTGGTCATATACATGTACACATTATACCTGGTGGACATCTTAACATGTACACATTATACCTGGTAGTCATCTGGATATATACATGTAAATATTATATCTGGTGGTCATCTTAACATGTACACATTATACCTGGTATACATCTGGACATATACATGCAAATATTATACCTAGGAGAAATCTTTACATGTACACATTATACCTGGTGGACATCTTATGATGTACACATTATACCTGGTAGACATCTGGATATATACATGTAACCATTATACCTGGTGGACATCTTATGATGTACACATTATACCTGGTAGACATCTGGACATATACATGTAAATATTATACCTAGGAGACATCTTTACATGTACACATTATACCTGGTGGACATCTTAACATGTACACATTATACCTGGTAAACATCTGGATATATACATGTAAACATTATACCTGGTGGACATCTTATGATGTACACATTATTCCTGGTATACATCTGGACATATACATGTAAATATTATACCTAGGAGACATCTTTACATGTACACATTATACCTGGTGGACATCTTATGATGTACACATTATTCCTGGTATACATCTGGACATATACATGTAAATATTATACCTAGGAGACATCTTTACATGTACACATTATACCTGGTACACAACTGGACATGTACACATTATATCTGATAGACATCTGGACATGTACATATTAAATATGGTAGATATCTGGACATATAAATTATCTGGACATGTATACATTATACTTGGTACACATCTGGACATATCCATGGAACATATTATACCTGGTAGATATTTCGAAATATACATGGACCACATTATAAATGGTAGACACCTGGACATGTATACTTTATATCTGCTACACAGCTGGACAAGTACACATTTTACATGGCAGAAATATGGATATGAACACATTATACATGATAGACATCTGAACATGTACATATTACACGTGGCAGACACCTGGACATATACGCTTTATACCTGGCAGATATCCGGACATACAACAGAGCTGATGCAAGCTTGGAATTACCTTGGTTACGACCAAAGATATTTATTCTTTGTTTGCGATTACTATTATTTAGTTGTGATTACTAAGCCAAGTTCAGAAACTAGGTCAGCTAAAATTACAATATGGCAATAATGATTATTTACTAGACCTGAACTGAAGTTTTCTAGAAAAATGTCAAATCCAGTAAAAGAAAATTTTTTACAATAACATGTGATGAAATAAAAATAAAATTAAAAAAAGAAATTTAAAACTAACACACAAGCAATTAAATTACATATACGCCCCACTTCCAGCCATAAAGATAAAGAAAGATTTATATAATAAAGCTCTCTTTTTACCAAATGTTAATTATACATGAGGTAAAAATTACATGAGAAAAACTCTTATGAATTATATAAAGTGTACTTGAAATAATATTTCAATACACGGGAAAGTGCATCTGCAATTTTATTATCTTTTCCCTTGATGTGCCTGATGCCAATATTATATTCCTGTAACAACAAACTCCACCTACATAATCTTTGAATTTAGCTTTTCATCTTGTCGATGAAAGTAAGGGAGTTGTGATTACTAAACACAACAACGGGACAAGGAGCTGAATTAATTGAAACTTCAAAATAATGTAATGCTAATATTAAAGCCAAACATTCCATCTCAATTGAAGAGTAATTTCTTTAGGCGTTTATTTAATTTCTTCGAAACATAACATACTGGAAGATCAACACCATCTCTTTCTTCAACCCCAACATCACTTGCATCTACAGATAGTTTAATAGATCAAGGTGCCCCGAGTAACCGAGTGGTCTAAAGCGCTCTCTTTTACGGACCACTGCCATCTCACATCTGTCTGCATGGGTTTGGGTCTAAGATTCGGCGAATGTGGATATGTGAGAAAACTTGCCAGTAGCTTCTCGTGGGTCGGTGGTTCTTTCCGCGGATTTTCCGGTTTCTTCCTCCACCATTAATACTGGCCGCCATGTATAGCATATCGTGTACTGAGAAATGGCGTTAAGACCGACAACAATGACAACAACTTTCTGATCAAACCCAAAACATTTTTATCAAAATCTTTATTTTCTACCAAATACTGGATCAAAATGTTTTTATTTATTGCTTCGCTAAAGAAGTTTTGCCTCAAAAAGATCATATTTTGTGGCAAGCTCAAGCAATTCATTTTTTGAAAACAATCTAACTGTTCCTGAGTAGGACTTGAAAAAATTTTTCACTTTTGATAACATTGCAAAAAGCCTGTTCATTCCACTAAACATTTCGAACAAATTTTAAAATAGTTTTTTTGGGGGATTTAAAATATACTAAAACTAGGGCAATGTATTTTTAAAAAAAATCCACAAAAATTTTCAGAAATGTTTTAGCCAAAATTCATAATCTGTAGGACTAGCGCCCAATTTTATTTGTTACGTGTGTTAGGCTTGAAAAAGTAAGAAAGAAGCTTGTTGTGGAGCCAACAAGCTTTATAAACTTTTACAGAATAATTTTTTTCTTAGAAAACAAGGTAAAACATGAAAAAGGACTTACGGTTTGTGAATCTTATGCAAAAATGAATCATAGAATTTAGATATAAGTACTATTATTGAAAAGTTTTAATTGAATTAAAGCTCTAATCCCGATGTACTTTCAAGACGAATGGCGATGGCATGTTCTATAACCAGTTTGTGCTGATGTGTCAACAGTTCTTTGTTGAGTTACCAAAAATATAATTCCGGCTTTATAATTCCGAATAATTTCTACTAAATGTCTTTGTCCAAGAATTTTTATAAGCACTGTTATTTTCTAGGGAATATAAATTACTAAATCCAAAAATTACAAGATTTTTAAATTAAACTGGTATCAACATTTACAAAAAATACATTGAGTTAAAAAGGTTTAAACTACGACTGAAATAAAATCACTAGATATAAGTTTTAAATCCAATTAAAAACAATTTCAGAACCGTGTGATGGGTCACATGGTCACTTCGAACAGCGCAATAAAAAATATATGGCAATTAGCACGTAGGCTATTTATAGATTCGATTGTACATAACAACTCTTACTATAACATTCAATAATAAAAATCTTTATAAAAAGTTTTCTACAACAGATATGACGCAAGTCAAGCATGAAGTTGAATACGACCGATGATTTTCACTCTGTGTTTACAAATTCTTAATGAAGGTCAGGAACTAGGTCTGCTAAAAATACAATAGTGTATGTGTGTGTATGTGTGTGTGATCTGGATTTTTAAAGTAGCTTTAATAAGTAGCCAGTTTCATCGCTACGATATCTGCATTGTGGCAGCTTAGAGTGATGTCACATTATCAAGATACCATGCCGACCAGTCCTAACACTTAGAGTGATGTCACATTATCCTGATACCAAGCCGATCAGTCCTAACACTAACTTCTCAATGCTGAGCGTCATGTTAGACAGCTGTTAGTACCATTTTTTTAAGTCTTTGGTATGACTCGTCTGGGGATGGAACCCACGACCAACCGCACCCGAGGCGGGCGCACTAACCACTAGGCCACTGGAGCGGTTTCTATACAATAAAGCAATAGTGAATATTTACTAGAACTGAACTGATTTTTTTCAGGAAAAATGTCAAATCCAGTGAATAATGTTTTTACAATAACATGTAATGAAATAAAAATAAAAAATATACTTAAAACTAACACATAAGGAATTAAATTACATATAAGCAACACAACTAATAAAAACTAATATATTCCTCTACAGCTAAAATATTCTCTATGGGTCAACTGTTAGGATTATTATATTTGCCTGAGTCAAGGACATTGTGCTTACCGTATTCATTAAAAAAATTTTTTTTATCTAGTTAATATTTGCAGCATGCTAAAAATAAATTTCCACTAGGTAATAGTTAGGTTTTTAATATAGAAAATGCTTATTGTGATCTGAGGTTAAGAGGATGGCTATTATAACAGGGGTCCTGCAGGTCATGGAATCCTGGAAAAGTTTTGGAATTTAAAAAATAAATTTCAAGGGCCTTGAAAAGTTTTGGAATTTGTCAAAACCTTGCAAAGTTTTGGAAAAGTCATGGAATTTGTGACAATGGAGTTAAAGAAATTGATTACTTCAAATTTCATAGATCACCGAGAACCGATTAAATAAAATAATAAAATTACAATCGATAACTGGTTTCAATCCATATAATAAGAGTAAGTTCCCCTAATGGAAGTATCACGTAATTTCCGGTGTAGTTCACTAAATAAAAGAAAGCAACTGGAAAGTAATGTGTTTTGTTAATATTGTAAATAGGAACACATATAAAGACTACATAGAATTGTTTCCTTTTTTCTTTTGAATACAAATTACATTGATCATTGGATTATGACATGAATTACTACATAAAGTCAAAGTGTGCTAGCCCAGGTAAATTTAAAATGTACATATTACACATATTTATTAACTTATTTCTTTTTTTATTGAAAGATGTCATTCTTTATGTTCATTTACTCGACAATGCAAGATAATGCGGTCCTTGAGTTTTATGAAATGGCCCTGGAAAAGTTTTGGAAAAGTCATGGAATTTGTTTTTGTTGAGTCTGCAGGAATCCTGTTATAATCTTGTTTTATGGAAATTATTTATTCGTGCTTTTAGATCTGAATTATATTATGTGTGTGTGTGTGTGTGTGTGTGTGTGTGTGTGTGTGTGTGTGAAGCAGTTCATTTGAACTGGAATTATATTTATTGAAATTATTTATTAACTGGAAATATGAAGCGCCGATCCAAAATAACATTATTGGAAACAGAGGCTTAAATTTATAGTGCAATTTTAAACAAGAATATATTCTTGGATTGTATCATTTTTGTGATCAAACAAAAGACTGTTGACACACCACTACTACAAGGGTCACGACAGGCACATCAACACTTACAGCGTTTGGTTTAATTTTGGATTCCCACTAAAGTTTATTCAGAACTTGAATCATTAAGACTTCTCTCTGTAATTCTATGATTATTTGGGATTTTATTCTCAATACTATAAGTTCGTTTTATATATTTTCATTTTGCATTCTAAGGAAATAAATTGATGAATTTTTACAAAGCTTGTCGCCTCTCAATCGCATTCTTTTCTATTGTTATAAGACCACAGAGCCGTAAAAACACATTAAGTTCTCATTCCAGGTCTTTAGGTGGAAATTTAAAATTATTCAAATATGATGATGTTCTTATATTATTAAGCAGAGAATCTCATAGCCTTGCTGATGCATAACTAACACGAATTGCTGCCCATACATGGATGTTCTACGTCTTGGATCTCCACTAAAGGGTAGAAAGAATGTTGCTTCTTGCTCATGTATGGCTGTCTTGGTTATACCAATGGTTGCTGTACAAATTTATTAAAATAAAAAATATAAAGGATCGACCAACAAGAACCGCTATTGCTTTTAGTAGATAATATTTCTGTTTCAATTATCTTGCATTACCTTTGAATCTTGCCTCTTACCGCCAGACACTCTTTAGAGGATATCATCAGATTTCATTGCCAAGATACTAAAATTTTGGGTCATTTTTGTATTTTTTTTCAAGTAAAGAGTATTTTTTTGGACTTGTCTTAGCTTTGCACAAGATACGTTGGCTGTACTACAAGAATAGTGTATCCGACATACACGACGTGAATCTGTCGGAACATCGCTCAACCATTTTCGTGAAGTCGTAAAATAAGGTCAGAAGTAGGTGTAGGAATACTCATCAATTTGACGTGCTTCATGGTTGATGGAGTGTATAACCACAGGAGTCAGCAGTTTTATCAAAAAAGCACGACTAAATTTCTGACAACAAGAAATAACCATAAATTAACACAAAGAATGAAAGCGTGACTACAACCCTCCACTCGATTCGAAATTTCTCACGCGTCTTTTATAGATTTAGAATCGCAAGAAGGCTGAACAACTACACATATCCATCGCATGAATTCCGTCACGCGAAATAACCTCTGTTTTCACTATTGGTGGCATTCATCAGTTATTATGTACTTTTGAGAGAGTGATGTATGTAAGGTGACGTTGTTTGCATTTTAAAAACGCACTGTGGAGAGAATGTTGGCATACTTATATGCTACTTTCATGTAATGTGGCGTAAATTTCTTTGGATATTGTACTTTTGGAAATTTTAAATGATCTTAGCACACAGCGAACTAAAATGAATGCTCCCTTGTGCTCCCAAAGTCAACCTGGATTTGTCTAATGTACATTATCATTGGCAGCTATTAAAATAGGGAAAATGAATTTTGCCAAACTAGAAAATACCAGCTTCTAAATGTGCACTGAATGAATTACCAAATACATAAAATGTAAAAATCATTATCGGCTCTTTTTTTTTTACAATTTATCTCTATAGTTCGGGAAGTGAAAATGGGCAAGCTGAGCTAGTACTTTTTTTAAAAGTTGCAAATCTGGAGTAAGGCCACCCTGTATACTCTATAACTCATATTACACCCATCATTTATACACCAAAATAAAGGGAATTAAAGGTTCTTTGAACAATACCTAAAATATAAAGAGTCTTTTTAAATAGCCAGTATGACTAGTGAGGGAACCCGGGGATATTCTTTTTCTTTACAATTATAACACTACGCTAGATACGAAACTGTAAAGCGCCACCATTACGTCAACAAACCCTGAAAATAGCGATCATTACAGGAAGTAGCCCATTTCTACCACTGGCTAAATAACGTCATGAAACTAATTTGCATCATTTAATAATTTTTGTATAAATATCCAGAACAGAAATATGTAGTTAAAATTCTGGTAATACAAATAACGTTTGATGACATCATCACATTTAAATATTAGAGCCTAGTATTAAAAGAAAACAGATTCTAAGCCGTGTTCTGAACGAATATTAGACCCTAACGCATATTTACTGCAGGGTTGAAACTAATAGAAATGGGCTACTTCCTGCAATGATCGCTGTTATCAGGGTTTTTGACCGTGATGGTAAAAATAAATGTTGATTTGCAAGATTTTATTCATGCGATGGTCGTCCGAGAGTAATGCGTTGGTACATTACTGTTTTCTGAATGGATATGTGTAGTTTCTCAGTTTTCGTTCGATTCTGAAGCGATAAAAGACGCGTGAGAAAAGTCGAATGGAGCGGAGGGTTGTGGTCACACTTGTATTCCTTGCGTCAATTTATAACACCGTTCAGGTGATTTCATGTTGTCAAAAATTTGTCGTGCTTTATTGATAAAAATGTAGACTCCTGTTTTATAACGTTTGTAACGAAAGCAAAGACCGAGAATGTTTTGATTAAGACTCTTTCTCCTTCTGCAGTCATACTGTGAACGAAAACAGTTTAGAATATAGTTCTCAATGTCGACTACTTATGTCTGAGGCTTCTTTCTAGATTTGACAGAAAAAGGTCGAGAAAATAATGATTGGATGCAAGCCGAATCGTTTGCCCGACCATTTCGACTGTTAATATTAACTTTATCCAAGAAGAAGCTTGACGACTACCAGAATGTCAACCCGGCGCACATTAGGCAAACAGAACAGAGTATCCGACAGCTATATCACTTCACCTTTGTGGGATTTTTTGGTGGGGTGTGTGTTTATTTTGTCTGTTTATTTGGTTTTTGTTTTTTTTTGTTTTTTTTCAGCATGCTTAATTAATTTTTCAAGAGACAAAGCGAAACATGCAATGATTTATATTTTACAAATCCGTTATTAGAACGACAATACCATTTACTTGCTTACAATAATTAATGTTATGTGCCCAATGGACATCCTTGCGCAGATTTAGTTCACTGAAGGGGTGGGGGACACTTTTAAAACCGATTTGTGGATTTATTATTTTTTTTATTTTGAATATTAGAAGTTAAGACTTGATGCAATACAAGAGTAAAGAGGGTTTCAACCATATTGTGGTTAGATTTTGCTAGTCACATTGATAACGTACTACTACCATTCACAAAGATGGACCGCAGTAGCCACATACGTTTTTGTATGTACAGTTATTGATGTATGTGTTTAAATTTCAAATCAAATGTTGCAGGCGGTTCATATATGTCAGAGTGACATAATTATACTTTCAGTCCAATTAATATTTTTCTTTTCTTTTGGCATTTACATGTAAAGCAGCTTCACATACACTATCAGGGCTGACAAGGATGAGAGGGTGGGAAGTCAATCGGATATACATCGCCAGTGCTCGGACCAAACAATTCTTTTAAATTTTATTTAAAGAAAAATTTTGTTTGAACAAGAATAAGGATATACCCGGGTGTTTCTTGCCCAAGGGCACGTGATTGCTCTTTACGGCCATGCACACTGTACGGTCACGAAACTTGAACTCTACCTTATCCACTTCTTTTTTGCTATCACCCACAAATGTAAACTGTGATTATAATGATCTACTATTTGCTAAAGTGACTATACTATGCTTTTTGAGACAAAACATGGAATTTTACGTAATTTTGTGTTTATTCCTTCTAATCACAAATCATGCATTTTGCCTCATTTGTAAGTGTAAAAGAAAAGGCAGTTCTTTATTGTTTGATTG